GAAGCCGCTCTGATGGCGATGACGACTACGACGACGTCGGTGACGAAGGTGAAGATGAGGAGGATGGTACAACGATGATGACGGTGACGGTGAACGTAGGACGACGATGTGAAGAAGAAGACGACGAAGAAGACGACGACGACGACGGTGTCTCTCCCGAGTAAAGTCACTGCCAGTGTTATTAAAAAAACATAACGTTTATTTTGGAAAATTCATAATATCCAGAAAATGAAAAGAACACAAGATGTTAAGATTCGAGGGGTCGGAGTCAAAGAAGACGGGTAGCGGTGTAGTATCGGCGGTAACGAAGAAGGAGGGAAGAGAATCGGAGGATCAGGGGAGAACGTGTTCGAGGAGAAATTAATTCGAGAGAAAAAGAGAGCCTTTTAGGTAGTAGTAGGGAGCGATAGTATATCGCGCGGGGAGAAAGAGTAGCCTCGAGAGAGGGTCGGATGAAAAGGGAGTAGAAGAGGCGGAAGAGAAGGACGGTATACATTCGAAGAGGGCTCGCCGTTCGAGCTCGATGACACTACCCTCCGACGCGTACTAGCGGTGTTTCTATCCTCGCGTCCTTCCCATCCTGCCACCTCTGAACACACACTTGTACACACACACACATACACACCCGCCCAGTCCCGGCCGGCCAGCCCTCGTTGAACGCTCATCGAGGACTCTCCGGAAGGGAAGGAAGGGAGGATGAGGGCCTGTCCGCACTCTTCGGCGCACGAATTCCGGCCTTGGGTCTCTCTCTCTCTCTCTCTCTCTTTCTCTCTCTTCGCGACGAGATGTCGAGATAACATACAGGCGACAAGAGACAAACGCGAGTCCGACTCATTTAGAACCACGTCCGGTCAGATGAGAGCGATTAGCGACGCGTCGCATCCCCCCGTGAGCTGCTGCACTGAGCTGGACGCTCATCGAGTTGGTGTTCGTCATGGTAACCAACGTACGCTTGAAGAAACGAAGGTTTGTCTCAAAATGAAGGGCGACTTCGGATTAAGCTAATTGATGATTAACAGACGTAAATTGCCAACAGCAATTTGTAGCTATGTAATTTCTCGTCTGTTAGTAATTCAAGATTAAAATTAATACCGGGTAAAAATTGGGACAAAATAGAACAAATAAAATACTCGATAGCAGTTTTAAATGAAGTTATAGAGTACAAGAGAATTTTCTTACACGTCTTCACAACGCCTGATAACTTTTACGATTAGCTTAATGAGAATTTGGTGAGAGTCACCTTGGAGATCATACTTGGTACAGTCGACGTCATATAGCATTTCGAAAATTACACGATTTCCAGCCTGACACATAAAGCAAAACCCGTTATAATCCGAGTCTTAATGACGCTTTATTATAATTAGAGTTGCTAGTGCGATTTTCAATCTCACGGATCTACGTGCAAGACAGAAAATCGTGTAATTTCACGTCGGCATGTAATACATCAATTGTGCGTCGTAGTTCACGGGGGGACGCGAACGTGTCGCCGCAATTCAGCAGGCGATCGCTGAGCGCTCGCGACGAACGCGGTGTACCTCGTTTTCGCTAGATCTCCCTACGAATCGCGATGATCCCACGGAATCACTCTCGTTCGTTCGACGCACGGTACCCGGGTCTCGACCGGTGGTTGCCTCACCGTGACGCACCGGTGTACGTATTCCTTGTCGCTCGTATCTTATTCTTCCGTACCTGCCATCTCGTCTCGACCCCGAGGCCTCGTCCGCAGAAACGCGAAACGCAGGACGCGCCGCCAGGATGTGGAGTAGACGGCTTGCTCGTTTTCTTTCTTTCTTTCTTTCTCCCCCTCCCTCTCTCTCTCTCTCTCTCTCTCTCTTTCTCCCTACGTCCTGCGTAACGTTGCGGTCAAGCGCGCAACGGAAACAAATATATAGGCGACGAGTTAGAACAGGCTTCGATATTACGCACGTTACATTCTCTCTCGCTTCTGTTCTAAGAGGATTATTTTGGCGGGGGAGTTGCCGTCCGGATGTTCTCTCGCTGCTCCATCGTCTCTCCCGACTCTACGTCTCTCTCTCTCTCTCTCTCTCTCTCTGTCTCTCTCTTTCTTTCCTTCCCTTTTCTCATTCGCTATTATAATATCCGACGCGCGCGACGAAAAACACGATGTTACACTCTCACGCGTGCGCGCGTGTTTCCCTCCTCCCTTTTTCTCGCGGCGCGGCGGCAGAGCGGGGCGACTTGTCGCGGGACAGTTTCGTTCGCTTGTTGCGACAATAACTACCGATTATACATCGAGAAATATCAACACGACAACAGGAAAACGTTTACCCCATTCACGTGTAATTAGCGACTAATTTCTGCTGCTTAAATTCGTCTGTCTCCCGTTAGCGATATTACATTATGCGCGTATATGTGTGTGTGTTTATGTATGTATATATGTATTTATGTGTGTGTCTGCAGCGTATTTATGTAATAATCGGAGCACGTGCGCGTATATACATATACTTAGTTATACATATATATATATACATATACATATATATATATATATATATACATATACACGAGAAGAGCGAGAGGAGACATTCAGCTCCCGGTTCGCTCATATAACTTTTTTTTTTGACACCCGTTAACGCCTTCTACTTTTTCTTCTTCGCGTCGATTGACGAGCGCGACGGAGAGTTCCGCTCGGATAAGTCTTTGACCTCCCGTTTAGAGCCTCTCTGCGGCTCTCTCGCTCAACATTGAGTAAAATACTTGCGGGGACATCGGGGTAACGATCGACGTGCTCGCATGTACCGCGCTTCGTGCGCCAACTGCGGCACGCACGCGCGGTACGTATCGAACGAAGTTATTTCGCGTTAGCCGATTTGCAGCCGCGACACGGCGAGTGAGCCCGCCGCCGAGCGATTGGTTCGTTTTCACGACCCTATCATTGCGCGCGCGCGCACGCGAGATTATTTAACCGAGAACTTCGTTCGATGGCGCGCATGTACCTCGACCGGATGCGGGATTTTGTTTGCGAGAGCTCACGCACATCAGCCCCCTCCGATACTCTTAGCTTGCACACGACGATGCTGTTTCTCTCGCGACACACTATATCGTTAATTAATAACGCGCAATTTTCATTGCGAATCCTTACAAATGAACATCGCTGGACGAAAATCGGCATGCGACTTTATACGTCCAGATACGTGCGGTAATTTTGGAATATAATTTGCTTTCTCTCCGTTCTCCTCGACCGCGGTACGAGTTTACTAAGAGTAAGTGGTAAATATATGTATATATATTTTTTGTGTGTGTGACGCGCGTGTGTATATATATGTATGCATATATATATAATTTCGCGTTATAATAAACGAGGGAGAGAGGGAGAAAGAGAGACGAGGAGCGCGGTCGAATGCAGAGGGTATGAGAGGAAGTTCAGACGTCAGAATCTAAACTTATGCAACCTCGCGTAACCTCGGTTTGTATGATGTATATATATATATATATATATATATGTATGTATGTATATATATATATATAAGCGTGTTTGTTTACGTATGTGTTTAATTTCTGCGCTCGAATGGATGAGGAAACGGAACGTCGCGTCATCCCCCGTCCTCCTTCTCCCGCATTCCGGTGTTCCACGATTCGCACGAGGAACTGGTGGTGATAGATGGGCGACTACAGTGGTGCGCAGTACAGGCGGCTACTTGCTGACTGCTTCGGCGACGAGCGGAGCGGCGGAGATATACGCGCGCTCCCTCGCTTGGCGTTTTACAACGATTACAAATAATGAGAGTAATTATTATTAGCGGGCTACTTGATGACGCACCGTGAGCATATTAGTGAGAAACGAGCGCCCGTTCGCCGCCCCTGATCCTGATTGGTTCCGATCTTCGCTCCCCGTCTCGGTTACAGGTCGCGCTGTAACGTTGAGAGAGGGAGATCAGGATCGATCGAGCCCCGGACTGTCGCCGCGCGCGACTCGGCGAAGACTTCGTCTGGGAACGAGAGCGAGACAACCGCAAAGTTTTCTTCGGTCGCGGCGGAAGGAATAGGGAGGAAGGAGTACGCTCGGGAAGAGATATTCACCCGGATTACGTGCGCGAGATGGTGGTGGTGATAGTAGTGGTCGATGGAAGCGTGTCGGAGGGAAAAGAAAAAGTAAAAAAAAGGGGGGGGGGAGGTGAAAAAAAAACGGCAAAAGAAAGAACAGAGAAAACGAACAGCGAGAGTGTATAAAAATCAAGTCACCACTGAAGTCGTTTTGGAACTTAATAACTTAATGTATTTGTTTTTTTTTACTCTCCTTTCTCCTCCTACGTTCTTCCCTTCGTATAATAATATTCGTTACTTACTAGACAATGTGAAATTTAATTTAAATGACAACTGGGTATAATGTAGTAGATTCATGCGTGCTTTTCTTTTCTTTCGGTTTTTTTTCTCTTCGCTTTTTCTCGAAACCTTCGCGCTAATATCTCTTTTTTCGCCTGTAGCTTCCTTCTCGTCTGTTTTTTTTTTCCTTTTTCCCCTTCACGTTCTAGCCTTATTACTCTCTTTTTTTTTTTAGATGGTAAGCAGCGAGCAGATTCTGGGAGTAATGACAGTGGATCTCTTTTTGTGTAACGTCCTCTGCATTCCGTGTCTCGTCTCGAACGTGAGATTTTTCTCATCACCCCTTTTCGCATTGAGTGCACAATAATCTCTCTTTTTAGTTTTCTACTCGCGAAGCCGAATAATAATAACCTAGCTTGTCTGCGATACTTCTGGGTTTGCTTTTTGTCTCTTGCGATGTGCGTTACCGATGAATCGTCACCCGAGGGAGATATACACGTGTGTGTGTCACACCCTCGCGGGCGCCTTCCACGGTCTTAATCGCGCGCGACCTAGTCATGCCCGACGAGACAGGGTATGCGGGGGAGGATTTTTGCGCGTGTATGTCTCCTCCTGTCCTTTCCTCTGTTCATCCACAATTCGCTCCTTCGCTCCTGTTCCTCCGTACAAATGGGATAATACGGATTTTCTTTCCTTTTTTTGGCGAGAAACTTCGAAGTGCCCGAGAGAGACCGAACGATCCACACGTGGCACTCGACCGTGCCCCAAGCTCGTCAACGCCGTTATGATGAATCCACTGTTGCGTTATTCCCTCGTCGTGCACGAGACGCATGTTGAACGCGCTTTAGCCCCCGTTCGTCTATCTCGAGTAAACGGAGAAGGAGAGAGAGAGAGAGAGAGCAGTATGATCCAATTCCCACAACGATGAAATATAGGAAAGCTTTTCTCCTTCTCTCTCTCTCTTTCTTTCTTTCTCCCCCCTCCCTCTCGCGAATGTTCTCTCTACGCGAGTCCAGGTTCGATTTTGGAGAAGTGTCCTTCCTTTCCCGGACAGCAACGTTGATCGGTCATCATGGACAGCACGGGCACGGTCGAGCGTGAGTGGGTTGTTCGGGTTTCTCAACGTTCGAATTTTTCGAACGGGTAGCAGCTTGTAGCGGTGGCATCGGCAGCAGTGTGCGGTCGTGTCAGGATAGAGAGAGAGAGAGAGAGAGAGAGAGAGAGAGAGAGAGAGAGAGAGAGNAGGATCGGTTTTTGAAGTGAAAAGATTCCAAGAGAAGAGGTGATTGCGACAGGAAGGAAAGAAGGCAGAAGGAAACGAGGTATGTGAGGGACGAGAGGACAGGCGGATGGATGGATGGATCGGGTGGATGGACATGGGTGAGCACTTCAGGGGGACGGGGGGACGATAGAGAATAGGATGTTCTTATTAGGTTTAGAAAGGACTTAAGCTTAGGAAGGTTAGTTGTCGCCGGTCTCCTGTTGCTCGTCCCCGTCGCCCTGTGTGTCACTGGTCCACAGAGTGAGGTTGTCGCGCAACAGCTGCATGATCAGCGTGGAATCTTTGTAGCTGTCCTCGTTAAGTGTGTCTAGCTCCGCGATCGCGTCGTCGAACGCCTGAAAACATGGCAAACAGATCAGCGGATGTTGACTCCTCCTCCTTCTCTCTCGCACAGTCTCTCTCCTTTCGTATTTATTTTTTGTGCTTGCAAACATTGAAAAATTGAAATGATCGAGGAGATGATATCACTATCGATGCAAATTCAAAACAATGAGTGAAACTTTCGAACTATTGAAATTACGATTGAATAAATTCTTCGATCAACAAGAATATTCTTTAACCATTCTTCAATTATATGCGTAATTAACAGTGAAAGAATATATCGGAAGATGCAAGTAATCAAATTGTTACTAGCGAGTATTTAACAAACGTGAGTAGAGAGCGATGCGGGGTGGTTAGTGCGGCACCGGTGGAGACATCAGTATTTTTGTACACACATATGTATTAGTAAGAGAGCTCGAGAATACAGAGGGTGGTTAAGCGGTACATTTTATGCACACGTAGCAATCAATTCAAATCGGCCGGAGTGTCACATCGACGCGAGGCATGCCAACATGACGATACACGCATCTTGCAGCAGATTAAATTAACTCTCACGTCTCCAGTGGGACATACATGTCTTGACATGTCTAAAATGTATCTTTGGTAAATATTAAGAACAATTAGGGTTCGTTTTAGAGAGAGTTATTTGAACTTTAACTCGAGAAAATATCGTGATAAATACAACTGTAAAATATAAAAAATTTATTTATAGATATTTACTTATAAGTAGTGTAATATCGGCAAGTTCTCGAACTAATTATGAAAGGATGGACAATATAACTTTCACGTGGCGGTAACTCAAATTTAAATGATAGTATCAACTTCTGATAATATTTATATTACGCGTAATGTATATAATTGCGCGTGATTTTAGATAGAAAAATATTGATTGATATTTATAGAAAAATATCTTGAATCTATCTATATAATTTTTTTCAAATATATATTTTTTATCAATGAGTGTTCAATTTTATTGGTAAAATATATTTATTATGATATTATTAAATAATATAATGTAGAGCATTGTCACAATTGTATCGATTTTCATACAGCATTTCTTGTGTGATTCGTCTTCCAAATCATTAATCTCTCAAGTTTTTGATAATATTTCATTTCTTGCAATTGCGCCATATTGAATCCGCCATTTTGAATTTTCACCTTTCGATATTTATTTTCGTATTCAGCAACTCGAAAAACCTTCAAAAGGTAACTAGACAAGACATGTCCCAATCCGCAAAAAAAAAAGACGTGAAAAGGTTAAAAAGAGAGATCGCCGCCGACGAGGTGGCCGAAAACAAAAAAGCGCAAACTCTCCTCGCAATCCTCTCTCCATCTAACCTGCTTGGCCAGATGACAGGCCCTAGCCGGGGAATTTATAATTTCGTAATAAAAAACGGAGAAGTTGAGGGCAAGGCCGAGCCTGATCGGATGCGTAGGCTGCATTTTCGCCTTCGCAATGTCAAACGCCTCCTGGTACGCCTTCTGTGAGTCCTCGACTACCGCTGCAATGCAAATCAGCCTCTATTCAGATTACACCTTCCACGACCTCGTTTCTTTCGTTTTCCCTTCTCTTCATCTCTCTCCCTCTCTACTTTCCGCCGCGTAACCACTGTAGCAATAAATCGTCCGCGTCGTGAAGGAGGCATGAGGAGGGAAAGGACGAACGAAGTTGAATAAAGGGAGGGAAAACGCGAGAGTTTCAACGATCCCCTCGTGTCTGTCCTACAAAGAGTCAGCCAGCCGGCCGCCGTACCGTTTAACCGGGGACATCGTCGTCCTTGAACGGACCGAGTCCATAAATTGTCGTTGATCTTCCACGATGTGCCGCGACCGCTGACGCGTGCAAGCGAGCCACTTCTCCGTCGTCCTGAGTCATGCTGCGCGTGAATCAACTCCGATGCTGCCGGCAGCATTAATTTAACATATTGCGTTATCTTAATTTTTTTTTGTTGAGTCGATACTCAACATGTATAAGTGTTGAAGTAACACATTTTATACTCCAACGTCGATTAACATATTATGGATATTGATTTCATGTTAACTTTTGACATGATATTCGTGTTATTTTTCAACATATTCACCTCGCAACATTTAACACAAAATTTTTCACCGTATATCGATCAATCGGTTGGTTTTCGCGCGATGCTTCACCCGAACATTGAAGAACACACCCTCTACTGAGCGCGTGCGTGGAACTGAGTCGCTACTGAGATCGTGAAACTTGTCATAATCTGTCGACAGATAAGAAAACTGATTGCCACCGGTAGACCCGCGCGCACGTCTGCCAATTGTCTATCCGTCTTCGTCCCTTACGAGTAGAGTGGTAAGTAGGTTCCCATATCGCGGCGTTAATATCGGCCGGTCCGCGGAGTTTGCCCGCAACAACAAGTTGCGAAGCCTTGATTGTCACTCGAGACTATAGCCCGATGACGCGCGCTTCGCGGAGCGCAGGAAGATACCGAGATCTTTGTAGGACAGGACAAAAAGGTACCGGTGGTGGTTTGTCGCGGGGTATCGGTAGCGCAAACGCGAGGACTCTTTTGTCACCGCTGTAATAAGCGCACCATCACCGCACTCTCACCGTGTCACACCGCCACCGCGCATCGGCTCTCTCTATCTATCTATCTCCACCGCGGAACAGCTCTGGAAATAACAATCAAAAGCCGCCCGTCGCTCGGTCGCCGCCTCGGTATACCTGTTTGGCCAGCTGACAGGCCTTGTCTGGTGAGTTGAGAATCTCGTAATAGAAGACAGAGAAATTCAGGGCGAGACCTAGCCTGATCGGGTGGGTAGGCTGCATCTTTGACTTGCTGATTTCGAACGCGTCCTGGTACGCCTTCTGGCTGTCCTCTACCACGGCTGGATATATTCAGACGGGTTGGAAAACGTGAGCGGGGTGCGTTAGACGTTTGACGAGCGAGAGAGAGAGAGAGAGAGCTAGAAGCGCGCGTGCGGGGCGCGCTTCGTGCCGGCCGGGCTGCTTGGAAGCTTTTGAGCGACGTAAATGTCGATCCATCACGCTCTTGTCGCGGATACGCGACGACGGCGAAAGTTTCCTCGTTACTCAGATCTGATCTGAGCCTGATGGGTCCACTAATGAGTCAACCTTGTGCGAATACTCGGTACTCGCGGAATCCGATTTGCCGGATCGCTCGTCGATTCGGCGCCCTTTTGCTCTCACGTCCCATGCAGCTCCGTCTCTCTCTTTCTCTCTCTTTTTTCCTCTCTTACGTGCTTTCGGGCGATTTTATTAAGTATCTTCTTTTCAAGTTTTTGTGTTATCTTAACCATTTCTTTTTTAACGGTATTGTCACGGACGAACCATCTTAATAATTAGCGCGCATTGAAATTATGCACATTGAAAGAATGGCGAAAGATCGCCTCAGAGTAGAACACATGGGCTGGCTTTCGTGAGAAATTACGATGGATACAATCGGCGCGATAGCACGCAAGAGATTTGTCATCGTCGTACCTGGCGAGTACTGCGCACGTTCGCATTCGCTCCGGGGTTCATTTAAATTCGCTTTCATCTAAACTCGATTCACACAAACACGAACATTTGCAATTTCCCTGGACTTGCGGCTTCGCGTGACTCTCATCAAAATGCATAGCTTTGCTCGGACGCTCGCAAGTGCGGGATAATAACAAGCAATGTCGGAATTTGATCAAATTCGATCAATTTCAGCCGACATTTTCAGGGCGAACTTTGAGATAACATTATCTCAAAGTTCGCCCTGAAAGCTGATCTGAAGCTTATCTCAGCGGCATCGAATACGCGCTCGATGAAAATTTCAAACAAGAGTTCCACGAAACGAATATTAACACTTTGCGGCCTCCGCTCCTCCGTATAAAGTTGTCGTGCTTTCTGACTCCAGCAAACTGTGAACCTACAGTCTATATATCTATTCTTTCCCGCTAAAAACTAATGTACGCTTATAGAACCTAAAATGAGATAGATATACAGTGATTAAGATTTGGTGAAAGAAAGAGGAGAGATAAGCCAGTGCCAGCCAGTTCAGCGAAAAGGAATGAACCTTATGATTCATACGTAAATGCGTTTTCTCGAACTGCAAATAAATACCGATATAAAATAACTTGTCCAAATTGAAAACATATTTGCTTTTCTCATCATAGGAAATTCATTATTTTCTCACCAATGAACGAAAAATTTCAACTTTTGCATTTGTTTTTCCTTATTTCTCAGACAGTCAAAAGTAGTTTTTTTTTTAACTGGGAAAAGTCAAACGTAGGCATGTTGATCCTTTGAGACAGTAAATATCGCTTCTTAAGATTTTCATGTGATAAAATAAACCATAGATATTACTTTGAATATTATCTATTATAACTTACTGTAAACAAATTCTATATATCGCGGAAAATAATCGTCCGACGAAAAATCTCCATCGGACACGGTTCTGTTAATTAATATTTTTACACTTCCGTGTACTTCAATTTACGTCGTCCGTAATTATATTCGTCACTTTATTACGCTTGACTGTGGCTCTTCCCTTCCCGTTCACAATTGCGTTTAACGTTACAAAGCACGTTTCTCGCTTTTACTTTTCTCCACATATCTATATTTTCAATCATAGATGTGTATGTATGTCGTTAATATTAATGTTCTCACATGGCGACGATACTATATTGTCGGCGGGCCGCAAAGTGTTAAGCGAAATATCACGGGACAAGTCGCGCACGAGCAAAGTTTGCGCGAAGTTTCACCCGCAGCAACGACGTCGCGAGCAGCCGACTTTCACTGTAAAAACAACTGCAGCCGACTTGACGCCCGTGAACGCTCGCGAGCGTCTACCAGGGATCCACCCGCTCGCACGTCAAAAGGAAACATCTGCCGTGGCCGATGCAGCTGCGTTGCGCGCGAGTGTGTTGCAAGAGCGGCCAGCTGAGAAAAATATCCAAATATCGAAGAACTCGCACGCGCGCTCGCAACACCGTCGTCGAACACGGCTGCACCCGAGCTCTTCCCGAGCGGTGATCGAAGGCGGGAAGAGGTCACACGAGATTTTCGCCAATTTCGTGAAAACCCGATGTGGCGATACTTCAGGAGGTTGTAAGGTGAAATGAACTTTATAAGAGTTCGGTGAAACTTGCACTACGTATGTCTTACAACTTCCTTAAATTTGGCCATTTTTGTCAAAGCACCGCCTATCGGCACGACATCCGCGTCGTTACTCGTTGCGGGAAAGAGAGCCTCGACGACAATGACGACGCCGAGGGTCGCTTCACACGAGCATCGCACGACGATCGCCATCGTATTTCGTACCGCTCTTCCCGTCTTCGATCCATGCTCGAGTGTCGCCCGATAAAGTCGCCCCGGCGGGCGCGTGTGTCGACGAAGAATCGATACGTACTATTTCTGGTTTCACCGGTGGCGACTTCTGCGAGATACCTGTAGTAATCACCCTTCATCTTGAGGTAGAACACTTTACTCTCGGCACTGCTAGCCTTGGGGATCAGGTACTTATCCAAGAGACCCTGTAACATTACAAATGTCGAGCCGCATGAGTCAATGTAAAACGTAGATCGTCGATATGACGAGATCACGGCAGAAAAAAGTGCTGCAATCAAATAAACATAATTATCTGTTTTCATGTTTCTTGAATCGCGTCATATTTTCACTGAATCAATTTTATTTCGATGGTTTGTGGTAAAATATTTTAACACGGCAATATCTTAACATGCCAATAAATTGCTGAATATAAGTATAAAAACTGTTCTAAATTTAAAAGATTATTTATTGGAATTATGCAATACTTTTTTTTTCATTGAGAAAACTTGGCGTTTTAAATTTCGATTTTTTTGTTTAACAAATGAAAATTTTTCTAAAAGAATCCTGACATTTTCGATTTTATAAATTTAATACTTGTAGGAATTGTTTTAATACATAGAAATAAATGTGTAATTTTAAGGAGGAAATATGACATCGTGTGTATATGGTCAATTATATTTTTACTTCTGGCAAATATTTATCGAGGAATATTGAAATATTTCATTTGAAATAAATATTATTTGAACGGTAGCACTTTTTTATTTCAATGAACAAATCTCTCTACTTCCGTCGCGCGTGAGCGCGCGCAATGAATCAAGTAGAAATTCGCAATGACACGATCGAGGGAACAATTTCGTCTCAAACATTGCGCCGTGTTTCATTGATCCTCGTTGGCCGGTGGTTCATTAATCAAGCGATTCCTGCTATCCGAGGGAATCGCGACGGCGCGATTAGTTCGCGTTTCGCAACTTAATTGACTCTCGTCCCGCGGCGACGCGTGATTCACGATTCGCGCGCGCGCTTCGTACCGGCGGTCGCTGATCAGAATAAGATTTCGATAGCCGCGAAATTGATTACGGCGACAGGATTCGGGCAAGATCGTCTATCTGAGATAAACGCTGTTGAAAAGCGCCGCGAGAATATATCGTTGAAGTCTCAATCGGACCGCGCATTACGATCGCGTTAAAATAATTAATCAATCGCCCATCCCCGTCGGCGATATACATGTGCATACGTCTTTCTCGCTATTCAGTGAGAGGGGGGGGGNNNNGGGGGGGGGGGGGGATACGAATTAATTTGAGCACCGTGTAGAGCCGGCGCGCAATCCTACGCGCCGGTCAATGACGAGCTACATCACGTTAAACGCACATTCATGCGGCCCGAGACCGCTTCCACTAATGACGTAAGAGCAGCGTTGGCCAACCAACTTTGCATGCGTGTAATTCGCGTGCAAATAGCGCGAGGTATTTATTGCGTCTCAACGTCGACATAATGCATCGACGACGGCCGCCGCCAGGCTCGATGAAAAGTGGTGGGCGAAAATTCCGCACGAACAACACGCGCGGAATTTGTCACCTATGTCCGTCTATCTGTCGCCTCACCGCGGTTATTAAAATACGATAACAGTAGTAATCTACGGTTCTACGGTAATTGCCATGAAAAAGTGACAAGAAGTGACTGTACGGTAGCATTGATATATCAATGTTGAAAGATACCTGGATTTTCACTCAGTTCTCACCTTTTCGCCATCAAGGCGAAAAGTTCGTGTGAAAAGTTTCACATTGTCACAGTTCGGAAAGTAAGGTGATCGCCAAGATCGTCGAGTTCACTCAAAAACTTTTCACTCTTCACGTTTTCAACCCAAGGGAAAAGTGTGATCGCTACCCGGAAACTTTAATGCCGGAGATCGCTTGGTTTTTGATAAAATAACAGTATGATGTAACTGCTGAGATTGCTTGATTTTACGGAGACGACCTGACATTCATTATTTATTCGATCTATGTTATTTATATATCACAACGAATCACGATGCGCATCTGAAAAGTCTGATTTAACACTTCTAATACCGAGTCCGCGTGCGTGTTCATTCTCTGAGCGACATTGTCGTTAGAAAGTCACAAAACAGGCATACTAATCGTCGATAAATCGGCCTTGAAAAGCATCTGCAGTTGTACAAGTCATCGTTGCGCTTCTAGATACGTAAACACGACGTTATAAATTACATCGCGTAATCACGCGAGTACGCGACGCGCGTCGTAACGAAAGAGGTCAGAAATAAAAAAAAATAAAGGAGGACAAGAAAAGAATAGCCGTTTCACTCACGTCGTTGCAGTGTTTTTAACAAGTCTCTTACGTGTCGTGTTTGTCGTGAACGAGAGAGAGAGAGAGAGAGAGAGAGAGAGAGAGAGAGAGAAAGAGGGGAAAACATATTCCTCGTGTTAAAATCACACAAAAAGTGGGCTGTTTATGATATAAAATTTTTTTACTGCATGTAATACTGTATATGATAAGTATGGTAGAATTTGAGAAAATTTCCATGCGGGCGATGATTTAAATATTATATTCCCTTATCTTATTCTCTCTTGCGTCTTATCATTTTCCGACCAACTTTCCAAATCGTATTCACGAAGTCTTGCACCGATCGACCTCTCCGCATTCTCCCGTCTCCCACATCTGTCAAGCTGAAGTTTCTCGGCTTTATCGTAAACCGCAGTGATGTTGAGGAACGCGCACACAATAGTAATCGCGCTTATCGTCGGTGACGTGCATAGGAGAGCACGAGAGAACACAGGAACGACGCCAATCACCCGGCGATTGCGTTTCAGCTGGAGTTGCCTTGCTCCAGTTTCGTCGTTTGACGTGCGTCCCGAGCGCAACTCAAATCTGACGCCTCCCTCCCTTTATTCCACGATTGCTCGTACGCAGTTAGTGGCCGAACTCTTCGACGAACTCTACCTTTTCCTATCGCACGAAAATTTACATTTGAATCACATCACATATTCCCATACATAAGCAAGAATATGAATCTTATATGAAGATAAAACTTGCTCTTATATGAAGAAATTCTATATAGTTACGCTAAAAATATACTTGTGTTACTCAACGATAACGTCGCGCCTAGACGTTCGTTTCATGTTTACATTGAGAGGAAAAATAAATCTAAAAGATGATGTAAAAATATTTTTTATATTTTAGATATTTTCGGTCAAAATATAGAATTAGAATAACATAAATTGTTTATCAGACGCTGTGCGAACAAAGCGGGGAATTTTCATTTCGAACCTAAGCGAACTATTTTTTTCTTCTCTGGTTAGAAACTGTCGGAGACATCTAGGATATTTAAATCGTTGACAAGTGCGCGTCATAAGATAAAGACTTTGCTCCGTGTATCAGACATCGACGGAGTATTTTTTTTTAGACATAAAAGGGGCACGGCAATGAATTTAATTCCCTTCAAGAAAGGGCTCCTATTACGAGGCGGAACGCGCTATTTCCGGCGGTCGGGGTACGTTCGCGTCTGAGCAGGCGTGTCCGCTTCCTCTTCCGTTTCCGCTCATTTCCGGATACTGGAGAATATCACCTCTGTAACGTAACGAGAACGGAGATCGAACGGAACCCCAGTGGCGAGTCGTGGAGAGAAAGCACAGTGCGGCTTGGAATTCATCGAGTTTAATGAGTTTCACAAGCTCCCAGAATGGCGAAGCGCGGAAAAGGTCATGTTTTAATGTCGGCTGCGGGCCTCCCACCGGTGAAGAAGATTCACCGACGAATTGATTAAAACGTAGAAGACCGATTCGTGGAAATCGAGATTGAACGACGACACATGGATTATTACTATCAGGAGAGGAAAAACGGAGGAAATTCGTGCCAGCGGATCTTAAAAGATAAATTTTTAATGAAGGAGAACCGAAATAATAAGGCTCGATTTATAAGCCACGTGCCGAGAAACTAAGAAAACTTTTGTCAACCGAAGAAACAAGACACTTCTCTAATCAAAGTTTGCGAAGGTAAAAACTCAAAAGTCTAAAAAATAGCGATAACGGTTATTAATAACGCTGGCTGAAGGAAAAATATCAAAACTGACTAAGTATGATGAATCGACGTATCTATGTTTCTCGACAATAAAATACTAAACTTTTCATAAGACTGTATATTCTGGTAAAGAAATCTTACTTGTTTGTATCCATATACATCAATTTTAATTTTACATCGTCAGTATAGCTTTAAAGCCCAAAAATAAAATATGTCAGTTCTTGGTGCCTCTACCGAAATATAACTTGAAAAAAAAAAAAAAACTCGACGGCACGCAGATCGAAAGTGACAAACACTTGGACTCACGAAACACGGTCAACACAGGAGGCTCGTAATTGAGCCGCGCGAAATCTAATCCAGAGGATGATCTTCACCCTCCAGAGATCCCGAGTGTGAGGAAGCGCGAGGAGGTAGCGGGAGATCATCAACTGCGTAAGACGATCCAGACACGGAGTATTGCTTGCAAACGGGTTTCGATGCTCCAGGCGAGACACTCAGTACAATTCTTCTCTCTTTTTTTTTCCTCCTCCTTTTCTTTTCTTCACTCCGTGTTGACATACGTATGTCGCACAGAGAGTCTTGCCGCCCACGGTCTTTGCTACTACGAGTTGTTTTTTTTAAATTAACGCAGCGAAAGTTCGTCAACGAAAGTCTTAATCACGTCCGATATTTAACGCGGAAAATTAAAATGCAAAATCCAATCTCGTTGTCCAATTAACTCTCATGAGATTCGCTCGGGCGAGGATTCAATTTCAAACTTGATTATCGAGTCCGTCAAGAATTGAGGAGGGGAAAAAAAGGAAAAGAAGATAAAGCGAATGATGACGCGGTACCTTTCCACAGCTTAATAACGCGACGGACGATTTAAAACAGAGGGGGATTTTTATGCCGGTTCTCAGCGGTGAGAAAAAATGTCCGAATTTTCCAGCCGCATATCACATTTTTGCTTCGGACGCGGGTCGACATTCTCGTGCGAATATTCAACGCCGTGAATTGATTTCGAAGCGAGTCGCGTGGACACTCACAATTAACACTTCGAACGGCGATATGCGACACGTTGGTGGCGCGAGTTCGCACAAACACTACCGACGACGCTAGTAATTTCTCGTGGCGCAAGATAGGCATTTACGCACCTGGATTTCGTCGCGTTGTTATCGCGTTTAGCTAATCGACGACGCAGTAACGAGTCACTAATAAATACTCGACACCTGTCTCGGCGGCCAAAGTTAGTGCCGCTTCGACGACAATGATGACGATGACGAAGTCGCTCGTTAGAAAGTGGAAACTTTCTGATAATAAAATGTCGGATCGAACAGACCTCTGCGTGAGAAAGCGGCTCCCCGTAATCGACGACAGTCTAGCGCTGCTGAGCTACCGAGCTTTTTGTTCTCTCTCTTTCCCTATGTCTGTCTCTTTTTAGGCAATTTATTGCTTATGCATTCATCGTTCTTATTGTATGCTAATTATCTATTAATTATTAATTAATTATTAATTATTTTCCAAATTTTTATTTAATATCTATATTATCATTATATTATTTGTATATTATACTACTATTATATTATATATACAATATCGTATATATTATTATTGCTTATATATATAAATTTTTTGCGTATATAAATGACTATGATAATACTAATAATATTAATAAGCTAAATTAATACATAAAGGTAGTCTTACAATTGTGCAAGCGTCTGGTTGTAGTGATATAAAATATGAATAATGCAGGACAAATATTCAAGTCGCGGTCCGCACTTCCACGCGCGTAGGTGGAATATCGCGGGAGAGAAAGACGAGGGTGAAATCATCGTTCGTCGTAACTATATGAAATCGGCCATCCGTCAATTCATATACCTGTCGCAAATCCTGCGATCTCCGTGGAAACGAAACGCTGGCTTACTCAACGACACATCATTTTCCACGCCCTTCGTGTCTCGCGTTGCCATATACGGAAAACGGGAAACATCAACGAGCGTCGACGCGAGAAAAGGAACGGAATGTACGCCGGCACAGTCCTCAGGGAGTGTCCTTACGAGAGCAAAGAGAAGACGACTCGAGACTCGCCAATGCGGAAAAACACGTTTTCCTATTAATCTCTTACCGAACCGGGTGGAAATGAAGAGCACCGAATAACCGCAACGACATTTGTCATGAAGTTGGCATTATCGCGAAATCGGAAATTGGGAGCGTACGTTAAAATCAAAACAAAAAAATTAAAATAGGTAGAATTATTATTTAATTTTTATTGTGTTAAAGATAATTATTTCAAACTTGTGTTATTTTAATGGAATATATGAATCATTGATTTATCTGTCATTATAATGTCTATATAATCAATTTTAGAGACTGCTAGAATCATTTCTCATAGTTTTCACATCATCTCTAAATCATCCAAATCTTTATTTCTTTGCGACGAGGCCACATTATGATAAATCGATTTGAGATTAATTTCAGGTATGCCCAGCAAACTCATCTTGCGATTCTTGGAAAAGACGTAATATTGGGGAAAAATATGAATATATTAAAAGAACAGCGGATTTACATCGTCGCGTGTTTGTGAGCGATGCATTATCGCGCGTTCGTTGTTAATGGCTTGTTCTCGTCGTAGTTTCGAATCTTGCGAGAGCTATGCGGCGACTCAAAGCGAAAGGTCCGTCCAGCCGGCTGTCCGCCCAAACAGTTCCGCCGTGTCGAAACTCGCTTCATTAAGTCCAAAGAGTCGACTCAATTAACCTTATTACGGTTTAATCGCGAGCGGCATGGCTTCTTGCTCGCGCCGACGTCGCCCGAAAATAACTCTCGACGATTGCTTATCGAGTCGCGTGCCGACAATAACGCCAACGAATACGCGCGTTTCGATGTGCGAAAACGTGAGTTCAAGGTACTTCTCCTCCCCGTGTTCAGGGGGGAAAAAAAACAGAATTTCGCGAGAAATAGAGAGAGAAAGAGAGAAAGAATAGTCCGGTGAACAAAGAAACGATAAGGACAGATTGACAATTTTCGTTTTGCTTTTCTATTTTTCATATGCCTTAAAGATAAGAATGAGTCAACGAATTACCGGAGGATTACATAATTCGAGGTAAGACGAATATTGATAGCCGCCTTCCATCACGTACGTCACGTCAAGCATTTGTTCAAACAAACATACATACACTTACACGCATACACTTTCGTTCACTCTTCGACAAACGCAACTCGAGTTTTCCCACTTTTCCCTTTTCCAGACGAACACCTAGCTTTTCTCACTATATCTCGACGCCGCCGTCGTCTTTCGTTGTCGTCGAACGTGTCGCATTTTTTCCTCCGAAGTGGCTTCGATTAATAAGCGGCCCGGCGACACAATGAGTCTGACCGCTGAGCAAACACGTGAATTGTAAGTATGCGGTGTTTGCGCAATGAAGAAAAAAAAAAGAGAAAAAAGACCCGAGAACGCAAATCGCGGCAAGGACGCGACAGTAGCAGAGACATGGCCTTCGATATCTCGCCGATGAGGCGAAAACAAGCGTGCCGCAACTCGAATCTTTTGTTAATGGCATCGGAATGCGGACAGACGCTGCATTTGAATATATCAGTCAATAAATTTCGCATCACATAAATTGTATCCTCTTTGAATTTGTATTTTTTCTACTTATATTTCTTGTGTTGAAAGTGACGTCCTTAGGGACATCCATCAGCGCCTATTCACGGTCTATTCACGAAATTCTACTCAGAATTTGCCTTTCTTGATCTATCTAGACCCAACGAAGGCAAACAATTTTGAGGCATGCCTATCTAGGATCACTAGAAACTTGGGGTATAATTAATTTTTACTCGAGCATCTCCAAGTAAAAAAATTAATTTTAAAAAGAATGATTTTCAAGACATTCCTTTTATTCACACGGCGAGAGCCTCAAATATCAAATTATCTTTTGATTTTTGTTTACTATACGCTGAAAATTAGAGCTAACTTTGGATTTTGTTATATTTGTAATCAAGCCACAAAATTAATTAGAATGATTTAGATAGTTGTATATTTGTATTTTTATATTATATTTATAATTGGATAGTATAGTATCGTTAATATACAATTCTTGTGCCGACTAATGATATCATTAGTTGCGTGTACATCTCACAACAATGAGAACATTTAATCGACAAACTGGCAAACAATCTCCTTTGCTAACTCAACAAATAAACACAACGAGAGAGCATAACTACAGCCGCGGAGCGGTCTGCAGCTGTCGGTATTTCCAAAGGCCGAGCCCCGTTTGTTCCCGTTATTCCAAAGAGAGGAGAGAGATCGGCCACCTTGTCCCAATTTTATTCTTAGACGAGCGCGACCCGCTGGAGCGGGAAGAAAGGGACGCGCATCTGTAAGATTTACAGACGGGCGACGAGGGAGAAGAAAAAAGAGAGAGAGAGAGACGAAGAAGACGAAGGGAAAGAAGAAAAGCCACGGTATCACTCACCAACACGTCGTAGCATATCTCGCGCAATTCCTTCTCGACCTTTTCCCGGTATTCCTTGGCCATCTGCTGTTTGCGCTCGGAGCCCTCGGTCTTCTGCTCGATGGAGGAGATTACCCGCCACGAGCTACGTCTCGCCCCTACGACGTTCTTGTATGCGACCGAGAGCAGATTCCTCTCCTCGTTCGACAGTTCCACCCCCGTCTCGGTGACCGCCTTCATCGCGGACGCCATATCGTCGTACCTCTCTGCCTGTTCGGCAAGCTTTGCGCGCTGCACCAATTCCTCCTTATCCACGGACATTGTGTTGGCTGAAACCAGAAAGATACGTGCGAAGTTAGGACAGATATATCATCGGGTAAAACTCTGATCGTTTGCTTGTCGTTTCGACGCGCGATTCTGTCACGAGTCAAGCGGATATTTTCGAAAATTTGGCTTTCTTCGCGTTTTCCGCATCGAAGCAAATAATATAGTTATTTTCGACCTTAGCTAGATCCTTTTATGGCTTTGGTTCTCCTGACTATAATTCTTTCAATATGATAATAGTGTTACAAATACCAAATATTTTTCTCTCAATGCAAATGTCGACGATGTCCCGAGTATCGTAGTTTGAAAAATAAAATACAGAATATTAACTATAATTAATTATAAATTAACTATAATTAACTAAATATAATTTCCCACCGAGAAATTAAATTGTTTCAGCATGCTGAGATTGTTCACTTTGGGGAATTTCGTATTTCAGTGTTTTCGAGTCTCTGAAATAAGGATTGGTGGCAAAGATTCAAATGTCCCTCGAGAACTCGAACCCGGAAGTCGGGGAAAATTTCAAGAATACGTTTCTCAGCATAATCTGACCGTATTAAAACGTTCTACAATGGCCGTCACTTCGTTCGAGCCGTCACGTCGTTCCACTACATTTTTCAAAATGCGACGCGAAAAATACACCGGACACGATTGACGATCTTCTTTCATCTGTGTGATTTGGCCTACGTAGTTCCACCTGCAAACGTGATGCGGTCGATTTCAGGTTTCCATTCTGAAATCCTTGGATTCACCCAACGACCTAAGTAAACCTGCTAAAACGCACCGGACATTCGCGACGCATTTCTCATGCGCGAAAAACGAAAGAAGTGGGGAAATCTTCGTGTCTCGATATTGAGGCAGGTTAAAGGTGGAGAGGAGAGCTGTCGGAAATAGGAGGCAGTGCACGTCGAGATACGGGGATGCAACACGCGACACAAAAGCTCGGCCGAGCGCGCGCTTCAATGTCGCGGGTCCCCCTTTTGTTGCGTGTCCGGAGAGGTCGGAAGAATGGGTCTCGCACACCGACGCGCGTTCAGACGCCAGGCATGACCACGAGATGATCACGGCGACATCGTATATCCATTCGCGAAACGCAACTGGCTGGCCTCGATCGAGCGCGCCTTTCTTTCTCCTCCTCGAGAAAAGACGTCCTTTTTCTTTCACAGACCACGTGGCGCATGGAGAAGCGCCCTTTTATTTACCGTTCCTCGAAGCAAGGCGGCGATATCAAGAAATGCTTCCGCACTTTGTGACGGAACAAAATGAAATTCTGCCTTCTTGCGGTGCTGGCGAGCGAAGAAATCTGATCTCTTTTGTCTACTCGTTTACTACGAACGATGGAACAGTGAAACGACGTTGGTCGTTCTTGACCAAGATTGGGACTCGTATTCGCGGGACTCGCGTTCTATTCTTAATTAAGGCTCCGGGTCTTCCGTTGCGATTGTCTTGTTCGAGATGACGTCAGCAGTGAGAAAACACATGCAAGAAAATTCTTGCAAAATACGTTGAAATAAGAGGAAATATTCATCAAATGACACATGCGATCAATTGAGCACAACTTATTATTTTGTGATATTTATTATTTACAATATTATTTTACAATAAGTATTGCTTTGCGATGTTTTTGTAAAATATCCCGAAAATTTTCCTTTTGTTCTGCAATGATCAGTAAATATAATATACAACCTTCCTATTTAACCTATCAAGATCTCTTCAAGATTTCGTCACGTTCACGGAAAACATATTTTTTTATCAAGTATTTCAAATTTGTGAATTTTTCATATTGTACACTTCATTTTATCTTTATCCACGATTTTTCGATTTGGCTATTTTTAGAGACACACATCGAGCTTCTGGATCCTAAAAGTCTCAAGTCTCCCAAAAGCCTAAGGCAACTGGATCTTTCGGCCGCCCTTGCACGCTTTTCGAGAGGTACATTATGCCCGCGAAAGAAGACATGTTCCTACGACGAATAACGACGCAGTTTCGAAATGGCTGGCTGCCAACCTCTCTTGCCGGACGGAAGTGTGTTTAGGTAGAATCTTTTCTTGTGACAATGGAAGAAAGACGAGATCACGAGTCTCCCCGAGGAAAAAGGATAACTGGGAAAGGGCCTCGGGTCGGGAGACTTTCCTCTCAATATTATTCTTCTCTATGGCAAAAATAGCTATATAATCATCTTCCAGTATAATTGTTTCGTCAACCGCTGTTATCCGATCTCCTAATGTCACGGCGAAGAGACGCAGTCTCTCAAGATAAAAGGGCACGGAGGAAAGGAAAAAAACCGAAATATATCTCGTAACACGACACTAATCGAAATGTCATCCTCGAATCTAACGACAGTTTAATCGTCGAATCGTAGAATCAACACGTGCGACATACGTGATCGTGTATACAGAGGCTCTTCTCTACGTACGTGACTCGATAAATGTCGCGTTATCAGACACGAGAGAACTACGGTAGCATAGCGGGGAGGCGGTGGAGTGTGTATAAGTGGGTGTACATACATCGTCGGCGTATGCATTTACCGAAGGCAACCGCATTTCCGTGGTAACGGCGGTACGGGGCCGCGCTCGATCTCTCTCCCTCCCTCCCGGGCTCGCCATTTCCGATGTGAGAGAGCGAGATCCGTCCGCGACACGGGGAACTACGTCGTCCTTTGGGTATTATCGATCGAGGAGCGCGCACGAACACCGTGTTATCTAACAAAGCTTACGTTACGTAAGACCTAATCCGTGGAATGAATATATCAGTGCGACAATAACGAGGGGAGCTCGCGAAAACCGATACTTATCGACGATATAATCGGGTAACCATTAGTTTAATTACCTGATTCCTCGAAAGTGTTGAACAATGCCTATATTTCTTTCATATTTATATCGACGGACGGGCACACACGGAGGAAAAAGTTTGATTGAATTAACGTGACGAGATGAACGAGCCAAGCGCGTATTTTGATCGAAGGAAACAGAATCGCTTAATTTAACCAATCTTTTCTCCATGCGAAGCTGTCCTGGCGATGTATTAATCCGTTGGCGACACATTTTCATTCGGAATAAGAGAACCGTTAGATAGCAATCTATTTTTTTCCCAGACGAGTAACAGAGATACGGTCTACTTTTAATTTTGTTTCCATCCGCTTTCATAACGACGTCGTAAGCTCTATATTGCATTTAATCTCTTTCCAATCAGAACGCGAGGGAGATTTACAGAAAGATTATATTTTATCCTTTTACTCGCGCAGAGTTACAGTTAGGTGATCTACTTCTTTCCAAGAATTTCTTCGAACAAATATGGGCATTCGAAATAACGATCGATCTCGTCTCTAATTTATCACCTTAATCTAACAGTTTTGACATCGCCGGAAGTTTGAAAGATCGGCAAACACACTCTTTATCTGCCACTCCAACAGCGAGCTCTTCATTAGAGAGAACGGGCGATGATAAATTCAGAATAGATCCGACGGACTTTGTAAGAAAAAAAAAAAAGGGAGGAAACAAACTCAAGTTACCGCTACTTTTACGATCAATTATCGTATGTTTCGTGTGACTTCATGTTATCGTCGCATCTTAAATATCTTAATCCCTCGGCAGCCCTCGGTCGTTATGTGATGGCAGGTTTTCGAAACGCGGGAGAAACGGCAATTACCGTCACGAAACGCGTCCTCCCGTTTTTTTTTCTCCCTCAGTCCGCATCTGCCGCTCAGACGCGATAAATCAGTCTTTAAATGACTCGGCGATTCGGTCAAGAGAGTCCCGGAGAGTATCACGCGCGCGCGCACGTGCGAATCTGTGCGAACGATAAGAGAATTGTGCATCGAGAGCGGGTGGACACCGATCGTCGCCGATCTGGGCAAGAAACGCATCGATGATACGTCACCGTGATTGCTGAGAAATTGGAAACCGCGAAGTACGGAAGAAATCGTCACACGAACAAGCTGACAGAGCCAATGGCTGGTACTTGTGAGTATCGTGGAGAATTTCTCTCGAAGATCTTATAAATATTCATGAGCCGAAAAAGAAATAATAATCTCGCTCGGCTAGGATATATTTATAACACCGAAATCATTTTAAGGCAGTATTGAAAAATTAGAAAGCAATGCAAATGGCACGATTATAACTGCACGTCACGGCCTGGATCACTGCGAATCCATGTGTTATTTTAGCTGAGGCTTTTCTTACATTTCTTGCTGTTTCAAGTCACGCCATTTAACACAATTGAATGTGTTAACTTATAATTTAACACGATTAAACGTTTAAAACGACGTAACCTAAAACAGCAAGGAAATAAAAAAAAAAAAGGGCGAATCGAACAAATGTGTCATATTTTTAGACGTTTATGCATGTTAAAATAACACACTTGGATTTGCATGGTTTATGTCAAAGACAATGAATAACTCGTCCTTTCTGCTGTTTTCACAAACGCATATATATATTGTACTAATATATGTTACACGACACCTGCTATCAGATATGTTTTCAAGTTCTCGACAAATTGAATTCTTGAGAATGTTTAAATTGTACATCTGTAACATTCGTTCAGCCACTTTCAGTTGTTGATCTCGATTAGATTAGATACGTAGATTACTTTTATCATTAGATACGTAAACCTTTCAGGCTACAAATTCTTTGTTTCCTCTGCATTATGACAGATCAGTGAAATCGTGTAAAATGGAAATGCTCATACCTCTTGAAATGTCAAAGTTTCTACATTCCATAGGCCTGTAAGAGGAATGAGATGTCGTAATGCGTTCGTTGTACCGAGCAGAACATTATGTCGTCGTAGTACGCGAGGCAGGAAACGACGATGATTCATAAAATTGAAAGAGAACGAATTACAACTCGCACTCGACGTACTCGTGAAGTATATTGTACGTGAACTGCATGTAACGTGTCGTTCACAAGAGCAAAAATCGCGAAACGAAATCGTTACGAAAATTTCCCTGTATCCTATTTCGCCAATTCCGCAAAACCTTCACATTCATAAGTATTTGTTTCACTGTATT